TTTTATTAATAATATAAAATATTTAAAAATAAAATAAAACGTTAATTATATATATAATAGGCGGGGCTACACACCTAAGGCTTGGAAGCACTAACGAGCTTAGCAAGCTCGTCCCGGAGCCGAGGCAAAATCAAACGGGTCTTAGCGTTAATAGAAACCTATGAAGCATTAGTTAACACACAGGAACGGCAAGATTACAGGCTAGGGCTAAACTAGACTTAACTTACCTTTAGGTAAGGGTAATTATAAACCTAGTAATTAAAGTAAGTAATAGTACTAAATTCTATAGGAATTAGCGGAGCTAAGCTAAAGCTAGGGTATAAGAATAATCTTATTAGAGATAATATAATAAAGATAGGCTTAGCTCTCCTTTACGCTAATAGTAACTTAGGCTATATAAGGTAAGCATAGAATTTAACGTTAAGCGCTAACTTACATGAATATTAATATAATATTAAGCTAGAGTAAAATAGGGGTACTTATAATAACCTTTTACTTAATAGCTTTTTTCTTTTAGGTAAGTAAAAGTATCTTACCCTTAAAAGAGCTATTCTTTTATAATTAAGTTAATACTATTATTAAATTAAAGTTAATTAATTAATTAAAACGTACCTTAAGAGTAACGTTAAGTATAATTATTTTAAAAATAATAAGCTTTTATAAAATATTAATAAAAAGATATTAAAACTAGATTAAAGTTAAGTAAATATATAAAGTAAAATAAACTAATACGCGGTTAAAAATAATAAATAAGATAAGAGAGAGAGACGCTTAGTACTAAGCTAATATTAAGTAAAAACTTACCTTAAATTAAGAAAAAGCTTATAAGAGCTATAAGAGACGAGAAGAAGCCTAAAAAATAACGTGTATTAATTAAATTCGCCTAAGAAACGCTTAAAAAATAAGCTAATATAGGTATAGCTTTAATAAGCTCGTATAAAGAGCTAAGAGCTATTATAAGGCTAGCCTAATATTAAAGGCTATAAAAAGAGATTATACGTACGAAAATTAAGGGTTTAAAGAAGAAAGAAAGAAAGGAAAATTAATAGCTTAATTTAAAGCTCTTATAAAGGCTATAATAGGCCTTAAATAGCTGGTAATAGCTAGCTAAGCCTAGTTAAGTAGCTTTAAAAGTAAGAATAAAGTAAAGTTTATTATAATATATTAATTATACTAAGAATATCTAGAATATAGTATTATATTAAGCCTAAAGTAGTATAATATAATATAATACTTCAAGAA